GTGGAGTGGAGTACCGCTCCAAGATGGCCGCCCTAAATCTCGTCAGCGACAACAGGCGAGAGCGGTCCATGAGGGTCTGTCCTTATGTTATGTCTATGCGTAAAACGGTTGAAACAGAAAATGGCGGCGACGTTACGCAGGACTCGGCGCTCAGTGGCGCCTCTAGTGTTCATGTCTGGTTTCACCTTCCAGGCTCCTGCGCAGCCGCAGATGGTCGGTTCCGCGGATCGTCCAGGATCTCCGAGGATTCCTTCGACTCGTCCAGCACCTCGTCTGGCGAATGCTACGAAAATGTGACTCCCAGCCAGAACCTGACCCGGTCAGGTTGGTCCAGAAGCCAACAGAACCGTGAGTAACCAGGTGTTAGCAGGTCCAGTCATTTATTTATTCAGCGATGAAGGCCATCTGTACTTCATGGACGTTTTTCTGGGTCGTCTGCAGTGACATCAGAACCGGGTCAGAACCAGGCTGGGAACCCGCCGCCCTACACCAACACTGGTTTCCAGTTTGCACTGGGAGGAAAGGGGGCGGAGCCAAGCTCAGGTAAAGGTCAGCGAGAGACGACCTCACACGTCCATCAGCATGATGCTGACGCTTCTCTGTCGCTAGGTGATGATGAAGATGATTATTGTCCTGTGAGCCCAGACTGAAAACCTTCATCTGATGATGATGATGATGGGAATGAAGGACAGCCCCCCCCCAACCCCTCAGAGGAACATTCATGGATTCATCTTCAGATTGTGAAACGATTAGAAGCAGAAATCAGATTTTTATTCCTGACCAGAAATTGGATCAAACTTTGGTCCAATCAGCAGAGAGGAGCAAACTGAGCGCGCTCAGTGTGTCAGGAGGCAGAGCCAGTCAGGCAGCCATGTTGTCGATTTGTTTACTGTGGAATAATTTGAACTCCTGCTTCAGATCCCATGAACTTCATTTCTGACCTGATCAGGAATTTCATTGAACGTCTCGGATTTCTGTTCAGGAACGTTTAGCAGAAGCTCCTTCAGACATTTTCTCGTCAAATCTTTTCTCCATGTCCATCTCAAATGTTTACTTTTCTAACTGTTTTAGTTTGTAGCTGATGGCACTTTAAAACGCATTCAGTGGATTTTATTTTATTGTTTTAAATCATGCCAACTCTTTGGCTCAAAATAAAAGGTTCAAAACTCAAAATGTGCCAAAGATATAAATTAAATTTACACAATGCTCCAAAGATTGCATCTTGAGTTCTCCTAATAAATATTGTTTATTTTGCATTGTGGCTTAAATCCAAACATAGAAACTATTTGTTGGGAACTGGAGTCTTTGGCTTGTGGGGGTTTTCTGCTGTTCCACCACCAGGAGGAGCCAGAGGGCGATTCCCCACATCCACCAGCATAAGAGCAGCGGCCAGCCGGTTCTGCAGCCGGTTCTGCAGCCGGTTCTGCAGCGCCTTTTGGCATAAAATTGGGAACAAATTCAACGCCCTGAGGAGCTGCTTGATTCCTTAAGTACACCCTCCTGCTGTTCTACCTGCTCATTTTGAGCCTCCAGGTGTGTCAGGACAGCCAATCAGCTGCTGACCTGGGGAGGGTGAAAGGTCATCTCCAAGTGGTGATGTAAAACTTGGTATCCTCTGGAGGAAATTATAAATGGACAGATCTCCTCTGTCTGGATCTCCTCCCACAGTCGGATCCGATCAGAAGCAGCCGGTACCAAACCTGGTAGAATCTCAGCTGATCTCCAACCAGCAGCGTCACTGGAAAACCTGTTAATCAGTTAAACAGCTGCTTCCAGTCTGGTTGCCATAGTTACCACAGCACTGAGATTGGCCTAGTCAAAGTGTTCAATGACATTCATATAGACGGTGGATGAACCACAGAGCTGGTTCTGATCATGTTACAGAACCAACTGCAGAACTGGGTCAGACTCTCTGGTCCAGAACTCAACTGGTTCCAGTCCGACCTGAAGAACTGGGATTTCTGTTTCAACAGGGTTATGGATCTAGAGTTATAGATCTAGGGTTATGGATCTAGAGTTATAGATCTAGGATTATGGATCTAGAGTTATAGATCTAGGATTATGGATCTAGGATTATGGATCTAGAGTTATAGATCTAGGATTATGGATCTAGGATTATGGATCTAGAGTTATAGATCTAGGATTATGGATCTAGGATTATGGATCTAGGGTTATGGATTTAGGGTTAATGCACAGCTTCAGTTCTTCCAGATGGAAACCAGAGATCAGGCTAACCTCTGACCTCTGACCTGACCCTCAGTCGACCTTCCAGCTGCAGGACATTCGGTCCCAGAGGACTAAAGTCTCCGACCAGAGAAACTCATCCAGGATTTAGTGGCTCTGATTCCTGCAGCAGGTCAGACTGACAAACGTTTATTAATGTAGAACCCGTCTCTGAGTTCCTGGTCCAGGTTCTCCAGGTTCTCCAGGTGAGCAGGGTTGATCTGTGACACCTGAGCAGGTGAGTGAGTGTCTGCAGCTCCTCGGCTTCAGCCAGACCCCGTCAGATGAAACTGGGAGCTGAAGCAGAGGGTGTGCGCCTTGAGGCCTGGGCTGATCTACATGATAAACATCTAGAAAACTTTCCACAGAAAGACGCTGATCCGACCAAACCAGAATTATTCAAGACTTTATTTAAGCTGAAACAATCAAAGAGTTTAAACTTCATTTCTTCCTTCAGAATCACTGATTGCATACAGAGGTTTGCTCCTCATTTTCTTGCAGCTTTGATTTGATATTTGCTGTCAGTTTCTTCATTTTAACCAGAAAATAAGAAACAAAAACCATGAAAGAATTTTAGAAACCTGAAAACTTGATCCAGATTCAGGAGTTTAGATTTCTGAGACTAAATTGGATCAGAACCCGTCATTATGGAGTTGATCTACGTGACACGAGAAACCCAAAGAAACCCACAGAAAACATGTTGATGACCAGCAGGGGGCGCTCTAGCAGAGGGGGAGGCTAGTGGAACAGCAGGCCACTTCGTAGATGACGCTGATCAGACACAGTCCACCTGCAGACACGGCCGAGCTGGAGCTGAACACGCTGCCGCCCTCGGTGGGGCGGGGCGGGCCCTCGGTGGTGGTAGAGGGGGGGACATCCGCCACAGAGAAGGATCGAGACTGGGCGCTCCAGTCCTTCAGAGTGAAGACCATGGTCAGGTTCTCCCCTGCAGAGAGAAGACGGGCCGTTACTAGAGGTGCACTGACTGCTGGCCCCGCCCACCAGGTCATGTCTAGCCAGCAACTTTCAGACAAAAACAATTGGCATTGTCCAAAATCAGAATCTGCAGGTCAGGCTCTTTAAAGATCGGCAATCGGCCAGAAAACTGCAATCGGTGCAGCCCTGCCCGTTACCGTGACGGGTGAAGTAGGGTCAGGGGTCAGGAGGTTAACTCACCACTGGTCAGGATGGAGAGGTCGCTGAAGTTGGCCCAGCAGCTGCTGAAGCGGATGGTGACGTTACCGTCCAGTCCTCCCACCAGGTTCCCGCTGGTGTTCTTCAGGCTGGCCGTCACGGTGAGCGAGGTCACACCCACCGAGACGCAGTTACCCTGAAACATCAGCACAGACAGCGTTACCGGGCGGTAACGGAGAGTTCCGCCCGGTAACGGAGAGTTCCGCCCGGTAACGGAGAGTTCCGCCCGGTAACGGGGCGAGTTCCGCCCGGTAACGGAGAGTTCCGCCCGGTAACGGAGAGTTCCGCCCGGTAACGGAGAGTTCCGCCCGGTAACGGAGAGTTCCGCCCGGTTCCTCCTGGAAGTATTCTGCTTACTCCAAGATTTATTATTATTTATTGAATTTTGAGGAATTTATTAATTTAGGTTAAAAATTCCCTGTGGAAAAAATGCATTCTCCAAAAATCCTTCAGTTTAAACTTATACCAGAAGCAAACTTGATCATCTGAGAATATTTTGATAATTTTTGGATACAGCATTTATTTAAATTTAAATTTATTTATTCAGATTTGTCCGTCTCATCCCGTCTGCTAGTCTCTGTCCTCCCACCTCAATTTCCAAAGCTCATGCTAACCAGTCACTGGAAGTAGCAGCTATGGACTTTCACAATAAGAGTCCCATGCCAGTTCCGGTACAGGAAGTGCTATGTTAGCACTGATGTTAGCTTGGCAACACCAAGAACTCCAGGAGCCACTCACTGGGTCGGTGAGGAACCCGCTCATAACTGCTGGCAATTCCAGTTTTTCAGTAATTTCAGTTCTTTTAACTTCATGGATAATTCTCAGGACACGTGGTTCTATCTTCTACTACTCAGGACGTCTCAGCCTGCAGCTCTTCTACTGTTTTTTTGTTCAATTTGTTTTGTTTTATTTGGTTCTGGTTGCAGCTAGGGGGCGCTCTCATGCCAGTGCTGTGGAACGTGAAAGATTAAGAACATCAGAGAAAACTTTAAGGGCAAAATGCTTCTTTCAGGAAATAAAGAGGGACAAATAAAGAGAAAATAAAAATGTTCTGCAGCCTGATGGAGGATCTTAGAAACTAAAGTTATGAATGAATGAATCCTGCTGCTAAGCTAACTGGCCTCACCTGGTCATCCATGGCCATCAGAACCGGCTGCTGGAGCAGCGGACCCACCGCCTCTCCGGCCACCGGATCCTGGATCAGCAGCAGCCGCGCCACGCTCGACACGTAGCTCGCCTTGGGTTGATCTCTGGACACGTCCTCTGCTGCCACCTGCAGGTGAAACGAGGAGAATCAGCTAAACTGTTGGCGTCTGGCGCTACAGCCTGGCTGATCCGACCCGCCTGGCTGATCCGACCCACCTGGCTCCAGCTGGGGTCCGAAGACGCGGGCGGCGGCCGGGTGATTCCCACGGAGGAGACGTTGAAGCCGATGGACTGGCTGAGGTTCCCGGAAAGCGCCGCCTGACCCAGATCGTCTGCGATGTTCTTCAGCAGCTCAAAGTCTTCCTCACCTGGAAGAGCAGACGTCATTCCACCTGGGTTCCTAAGAGCGCTCAACCCGTTTACCGGACCACTGACCCGCGGTGCTGTTGGCGCTCTGCTGGACCGGAGGTTTCCGGATCTCCACCTCCACCGTCAGGCCCGTGGATCTCTTCCTGCGCCGCGCGCCGCCGCTCTCCCTCACCACCCGGGAGACGCGGATCATGTTGGCGGGAACTCTGAGGAACAGAGCCAGGTTCTGGACCAGGCTGTCTCCAAAGAACTGGTCCTCGGTGAGGGCGGGCATGTTGAAGGCCAGAACCAGAACCGGGGCGGTCCTGATCTCCAGCGGACCGGAACCTCTCAGCAGAACCTTCAGCATCTTGTAATCCTGGTCGAAGAAATTGGTTCCCATGGAGGCGTTCATCTGAGGGACGAACTCACCTGGAGGCAGAGGATGGTCTGCTGTGATTGGACCTCCTGCAGCAGAGCCTCCTGCAGCAGAGCCTCCTGCAGCTCAGCCTCCTGCAGCAGAGCCTCCTGCAGCAGAGCCTCCTGCAGCAGAACCTCCTGCAGCAGAACCTCCTGCAGCAGAGCCTCCTGCAGCTCAGCCTCCTGCAGCAGAGCCTCCTGCAGCAGAACCTCCTGCAGCAGAGCCTCCTGCAGCAGAGCCTCCTGCAGCAGAGCCGTGTCTCCATCGTTACTCCGATCCCTCCCAGCTTCGCTCCTGGAATCGTTGCTTTGCGTTTCTACGCCTCTGTTGCTATCAAACCTGACAGCCGGCCCATAATTTATAGCATACAATGGAGGAATAGGTCAAAGGTCATTCTGTCACATGAAGAACTGATTTCATGGCTTCCTCTCCTATGTCTGAGTTCTGTTTGTAAAGTTACAGACCGAAATTTACAGCAATAATTTGGGTTATTGAGTTTGTTTGGGTTCAGTTTTCAGTCATTTTTTCACCACCTGGACTGAGTTTTTATTTTGAAACTAAATATTTGGTTCAATCTGAGGGATGATCTCACCTGGAGGCACATTTAGCTGCATCTACATTGATTCAACTAGCCCCACATATCTCAGTGCTTAGCTTGATGAGTTTGAAACAACATTTATAAATGAATGAATTTTGTGGTGAACACATTAAAAATGAACCCCAGACTAAGTAACCGGCATCGTTCCAAACGGCAGCTCACCTCGGTACGCCGGCTCCCTCAGGACGTAGTCGGACCCGTCGTGGTTCCACACGGCGTTGCTCGGGGCGACCAGCCGGTCCTCCACGTAGACGTCCAGCCGCTGAGGGTTGGAGTAGAAGACTGACACCAGGACGCTCTGCGGGGGGCGAACACGGAGACAGGAGGTCAGACACGACGGAACTGAAAGCAGCCGAGCGTCCAGAACAGAACCGACCTCAGACGGGTCGGAGTTGAGCATCAGGAGGCGGAGCTTCTGCGGGCTGACGCTGGTGAAGTAGACGTCGAAGGCGTGTCCGGTGGCCATGATGCTGTGGAACAGAGACACTCGGCGCTGGCAGGTGTATCCTGCACACCAACCGTGATCCTGAGGGCCTGCACCGAAAACACACGATGAAAACACGGCGCCCGCCCGGCCGGCCTGGAAGAACCACCAGAACCTTACCGTTAATCAGATCCACAAAGCCGTCCCCCAGCACGGCCACCGGGGACAGACGGCGAGTCTCCGTGTCCGAGTCCAGGCTCTCGATCGCCACCATCCGGTAGTTCAGGCCGAAGCACTTGTAGCTCTGCCAGGAGCTCATGTAGGTGCAGTTTTTCCTGATGACCCCTGAACGCACCACGAGCAGCCGTGAGAGGACGGCTCGGCGGGTCGGGTCTCTCTGAAGCTCTGCTTACCTTTCCGAGGCGCCACCTGCTCCACGGGGATCCGGCTGCCGTTCAGGGACGTCAGCATGACTTTGGGAATGCGGTAGTCGCCCAGCCCCCGGCGGGGGTCTCCTCCCCACTCGAACTCGGACTGCGGCACCACGCTCCCCACCGCGCCCAGGAACGAGCCGTCCAAGTCCTTCAACAAACTCTTCTTCTTGGCATCGCAGTCCATGTCCACGCAGTCTGCCGGGTTCGCTTTACTGACGAGCAAAAACACATCAGTCCACAAATCCAGGAAAGATTCCCAAAGACTCGGTTCGATTGGCAGCAACCTGTTCCCCTCCTGGCCTGTGGGGGCGCTGCACCAAGAACCACTGAAGACACTGAGAGCAACTTCCTTCTTCACCAGATGGAAACAAGATGGAGATTTTAGAGGTTGGAGGATTTCTCTTTAGGCTAAAGACCAGGAGCCATTTCTGCTGCTAGCGCTAGGCTAGCACGTTAGCTTTGGTTGTGTTTACCCAGAATGGCCAAAATTTGAGAATTGTGACAATATGCCCCTTTGTTGTAACTTGGACCTCCAAAATGGCGGACTGGTCGCAGTGCAGGTGTTTGTGCTGCTGAAGTAAAACTACAACCAAAAAGTGTTTTTAAATGAAGGTATTTTGCTTTCCTTTGATCTTTTATCTTTAATTATCTTTAATTTTCCGCTCAGTTTATCGTATCAAACCTTTTTGTTTCTAATGTGTCGAATTATTTTCTTTACCTTTTCTACAACCATGAGAAAATTACAAAACATTCCCATAATGCCGCAGTTTGACTCAAAACATCACATGCAGCAATGAATTGTGGGTAACACACTTCGCCAAAGTCTCAGTGTAAAGACGGAAACCAAAAATGGGCGGGGCTAAAGCAGGAAGTGGACAATGTCGCCCAGAACCCAACCAGAGTTCACTTCAACCAGAGGTCAGAGGTCGCGTACCATTCACACCAACCGGACCGGACGGTTCGGTCCGAACTCACCTCACATCGGGTCGGTGAATGAAGACCCGGGCGTCCTCGGTGCTGTCCAGCATCCTGACGGCCGAAACCTGCAGGGGGTGCTGCAGGTCCTCGTTCAGAGGGTTGGTCATGAACACGTAGTTCCTCTCTCCGGAGCAGACGTTCCGGAAACCAACGAAGGTCGTGTCTGGAACGGAAGAAGCGGGACTGAGGAGGAAGTCCGATGAGACGGGAACAGGAAGGTTAGCGGGCCGGACCTGTGACCGTCATCCGGCCTTTGATGGCGTTGTAGTTCATGTTCAGGTGATGCGGTTTAGCCGGAGCCGTGTTGTGTCCGGACTGGAAGGTCGGCCAGCAGATTCCGGATCGACCTCCTGCGAGAACAGAGACAGGAAGTGAGCGCGTCTTCCTGCTCAGATCCTCCAACAGAACCAGAACCATCTGCAGTAAATGTTCTGGCTCCACTGAAACCCAGACAAAACCAATCAGAACCGGTCCTGGTCCAGATCTGGGAACGGCAGAAACTTTTTCCTCCATTAGGAATAATCCTGACAGAAGCTCCTCTCGGCTCAGTGACAGACCAATCAGAGGCTGAGGAGGCTACACATCCACTGCATGTTTCCATGGAAACCAGACGCATCATCAACCTCCGATCCCTCAAAGATGGCGTCAGCTTCAGTAGATCAGCAGACTCCGTATCTGGACCACGTTTTAATCTTTAGTGGAGTTTTTCTCTGAACGGAGGGAGGAAACCCTGGAAGAGGAGCCGGCTTCCTATTGGCTGTTTCTGATTGGTTAATGACCACCAGGCGGCGACTCCTTCCCTCTGGAAGCTGCAGCCGATTACCGAAACGCGAAAGTCACAATCATAAACTAATTATTACATGAACGGCCAGTTTCATCTTCAACATCCAACCGGATCTGATTTTCCCACCACAATCAGCTGCCAGTCGGTGAAACTCAGTCGGTTTGACGGGTAAATGTGGACGATCTGGGTGAACCAGGCCAGAAGCCGCCCGGTTCTGATGCAGCCTCACCTTGCGGCGGTCTGGGCGCTCGGTGGAGAGACGTGGTGGCGACGTTGAAGTCGTCGGAGCTCAACGTGTCGGAGCAGTTAAAGGCCGGGCTGCTGCCCACGATCAGGGAGTTCTGGGAAGAAACAAGAAATAAAAAACAAACTCCGACTGCAGCGGCTGCAGGCGGCCAATCAGGAAGCAACTCACCTGAACGCGCACCGACTTATCTGCATAGGCATGAGACAGAGAGGGCGGGCCGAAAACCAGGGGCATGATGCCCATCCCGTTATCCACCAGCGTCACGTTGGAAACCACCACATCCATGATGACCTGAGGAAGAGGAGCAGGAGGAAGAGTTCATGATTCTGCTTCCTGGGATTTGAGCCTCACATTTATTTTCTGTTTTTAGATCAGATCTTGCAGCCAAAACAAAATGGCTGCCGAGTAGAAACTGAAGAACTGATGATATTTTATGAAACTCAACTTTTCTGATATAAAACAGGAAAACACCCGGAAGGAGGATGTAACGCCTAGCAGCAGGAAGAGCAGAAACTCCAAACATCACAAGAAACTAACTGGAGAGTCACAGGAAACTTCCTGCATCCAGATCCAGAGTCTGTTTTCCCAACCTGGAAGTAGATGGCGAAGTCAAAGGCCTTCCAGACGAAGAATCCTCGGATGAAGCTGCAGCCGGCCAGGCCGTCCTTGTTGAGGTAGACGCCATACGGACCGCCGTGGGCCTCGTTCTGGACCCAGGCCTCGTTCGGGTTCTGGAAGCCTGCAGGGAGCAGAGGAGTTGATCCGAATGCCACCCTGCTCCGGAAGGAAACGCTCCGGAAGGAGACGCTCCGGGAGGAAACGCTCCGGGAGGAGACGCTCCGGGAGGAGACGCTCCGGAAGGAGACGCTCCGGGAGGAAACGCTCCGGAAGGAGACGCTCCGGAAGGAGACGCTCCGGAAGGAGACGCTCCGGAAGGAGACGCTCCGGGAGGAGACGCTCCGGGAGGAGACGCTCCGGGAGGAGACGCTCCGGGAGGAGACGCTCCCGGAGGAAACGCTCCGGGAGGAAACGCTGCAGCGTTCCCTACCTGGGCACGGCTCGCCGTCGATGTGATACGCCACCCTCTCATATCCCGCCACGATGTTGTTCTGCAGCACCACACCGGAGCCCTCGCTCACCTGGAAACAGGAAACGCATTGGGAATATTGGGAAGCTGTCTGAAAGTCCCAGCAGCTGATGGTTTGTTTGACAGGAGGAACCTCGATGGCAGCGTTCCACTGGAAGTTGAAGGGTTCCTCTCTGTCCTGATACGATCCGGGCCACAGTGACATCATCACCAGGTTCCTCCTCAGCAGGATCCGATCGCCCCAAACGCGGATTCCTGCACACAGATTGCCATCAACCTTCCGGAGGACCGGGAAGCGTTTCCTCCACCGTTACCCTGGATTACCTTCGCCCACCGTGTGATGGACAACGTTATCGTCGATGCTCAGACCCGCCGTCCCGAAGACTCCGATGGCCGGAGAGAAACCGTCATGGAAGGCACAGCCCTGGATGTACGAGTCGTTCCCTGAAACCTTCACATAAAAAAACATTTTCATCTCCTGAATGGCAGGAAATAAAGAAAGGCCAAGTCTGAACGTCTGGAGAACTACTGATCTGGATCCTTTTAAGGTTCACAGGGAAAGGAAAATGAGAAGAAGAGAGCGAGAGGTTTCAGAGGCTCATCATGGATCAGAGGAGAAAGATGGTCATTTCATCTGCTGTCTGAGGTTTCCTTCCACCCGAGTGTTGGCGTACCTCTCCCAGGTTGAGGAAGGCCACAGAGTACCGCGGGTCGAAGTAGTCGGTCCAGCCTTCCTGGCCGGAGCGGAAGAACTCCACATTCCTGATCTGGGCTTTACCTTTGAGACGAGCAAGAGAGGACAGACTGAGGGCAGCGCTCACCACAAACACCATCAAAGGTCTCCATGTTTCTCTATTTCATCCTGACGGACCGGCACCGACACGTTCTATTCCTCAGAAAGTTCAATCAGTCAGCTCTAGATAGTGGGAAGCATTTTCTGGGTTCCTGAAAGTACTCTGCATGTTCTGGGAAAGTAAGTTCAAAGACATTACATGGCATCTCTGGAAAGTCTTAAAGAGTCTTAAACTTTAAAGTTTCTGAAAGTGTAGTGAACCAGCTATCTGTGGTTTAGATGGTGGTTTTCCTCCATGTTTGTCCGTTCTGTCTCCTTCAAGTCTGCCTGATCTGATCAGGAGTTGATGCTAGCAGCAGCATGCTAGCAGGTCGTTGCCAGGAACCTTCTTGAACCCTGACCACGCAGGAGAGGCCTACAGAAGCTGCGTACCTCGATAGCTGACTCCGCCGCTGGAGAAAGTTCCCACCAGCAGCCGGGCGCCAAAGGATTCCACCTTCATCGCTGGATACTCCTCGCCGATGATCCGGATGTTCCGGCTCAGGAGGCCGACATCCGCCGCCAGAGCATAGGAGAAGGACGACCCGGGGACAGAGTGGGTTCCACCTACCAGAACCAAAACCTGTTAGAACCTGAGCCCAGAACCTGTCAGGAACCAGCAGACGGTCCAATCTCTGCTTCTGGTCCAATCAGAGGAAAGGGTTCATCATGTGAAAGGTTCTGAAAGGAACTGACCCATGTGAGTGTGGTCCAATGGCTGGTTGAGGGTCAGGATGAGGCCGTCGGCCGACACCGCCGCGATCCGACGTTTCTCCGTCTCCGAGGCTCTGTAGCCGGAGGTGGAGATGGCAACCTGGTCTCCAACCTGAACAGCAACCAGAGACGCAGTCAGGAGCCAGGACTGGAACCAGAACCAGAACCAGAAGAAGAGAGAGGCTTCTGGGTAATGTAGTCCTACAGACTGGCTCTGGTTGCCATGGTGACAGCACACCTGTCCCGTATCCCCCCCACAGACAGACGGCGACATTCCCGAATTCTCAGGTGTTTGACAGGTGGCAGCAGTTTGAGCCTGTAACTGTAGAAACGCTGCGTCTCCACTCAGACCCAGAAGCCTCTGGACGTCCAACCGGGTCAGAACCATCAGCACTCCAAGCTGAGGAAAATTCCTCAAAGCTAAACTGGCATTATTTAAATCTGGGTCAGAAGAAGTCCAGGTTCCTGTGACCCGGTTGGACTCCAGGTTCTGATGGACAAGATGAGGTCCAAGCAGAACCTGGTTCACATAAATCAGGCCAACAGAGCCAGCACTCTGACCTTCCAGTCGACGGGCTGCACCAGAACCAGCGAGTCGGACCCGGCGGCGGCAGTGGCGGCCAGCTTGGTGTGGTAAACGCCTGGAGGCCGACCGTACAGGTCCAAAGTACCGAACACACCTGCAGAACCACAGAACCACAGGGGAGTCACAGTTTGAAGCTTCGCTTTCCACACGACCGGCCGGTTCTGACCCGCTTTACATCCCAACCAGATGCTAACAGCTTCATTTTTTAAACTAAATGTTCAGTTTATCCAACAGTAAACCGCTCAGTCAGCTATTTAGCTAATAGCTCTGAGCTAGCTGAGGGCTTAGCTTGGAGCTAAATATTTAGTTTTTAGATGGTGATGGTCTCCAAACTCACTATTTGGCTTGTTGGTCAAATATTTTTGAAACATTTCTAAATGATGAAAAAATGTCTCGGAAAAATTCATTTCTGTCTTTTTTCTCTGACAAAATAAGCAACTCAAATTATTGTCATTTGTTTTTGACCTCCATTTATCTGGAACCGGACCAGAACCTGGCAGGTCCAGACCCGGTTCTCCGTGCAGAGCTGCGGCCCGGTGTCTCACCCAGGACCTTGGATCCCTGGTTGGGTCCGCCGGGCAGCAGCCAGTCGGGCGTGTCGTGGTTCCCTCGGAGCCGGATCTCCAGCCGGCCCTGGAACGGCTCGCCGTCCCACCCGGCCAGCAGCCTGCCGCCCTGCGGCACAACACCGGCACAACAACCGTCACTTCCTACGGACCGGCCCGGCCCGGCCCCGCAGCCACACGGCCCGGAACCGGCTGAGGTTCTGATCGGGTCTGGCTGCTGGGCCGGAACGGTTCCGGTTTAAATCTGAAGCAGAGTCTGGTTGCCATGCCAACCTGGATGGAGACGTAGACGGCGTCGATCACCAGGGTTCTGTTCGGGGAGTCCAGAACCTCCAGAACCCCGGAGACGGTGAGCCTGCTGAGGGACGGCGTGTCTCGGTCCAGAACGACCCACTTCCCTGTGGAGAGAGCCGATCATCAGATCGATAATCAGATTTAATCCTTTAATTCTCCGATCGGCCCGGTGACGGAATAAAATAACCAAATAAAGTCAAATGGAGGTTCATGAGGAGCCTGGATGTTTTTATTTACCCTTAGTAAAGATTTAATAATGACGACGACGGGATGTGCTGAATCTGATCATCATGGAACTAAAAAATTAAAATTTTATCAGCTCTAATAAAAGATATGGAGCACGTTTTTAGTTCTTACGGTTTGAAGCTACGCAGTCAGAAACGTAAACATCATTTGGGTTAATCTGGGAAAAACATGAAGGTTCATTTTTTAGATTCTCATTTCCACCAAATTATTCACTTATGAATGTCACCGTTTCAAACGGATGAAATTCCCCCTTATGACAGACTAAATACGTTCTGACTGCATAGGAACAGCTTTCCATGACGCCGGGTCGGGTCGGCCGGGTCGGTACCTGAAGGGATGACTGCATCGGCGCCCTCTGCTGGCACAGTGAAGTTGTTCTCCGCAGAACTTTTCCAGAATGAAGCATCAGACCACAGACTGCAGAAATACGCAAACACGCTGTGTTAAAAAGGCCAAAGCAGAACCAGCTCAGCCCGGTTCTGGTCTGCCAGGCTGGACTGAGGTCCAGTTGGACCTACAGGAAGTCGTTGGGTCGGCGGCTGGGGACGGGAGCCGGCGTGGCCGGGGCCGGAGCCACGCACTGATGGAAGAAGCAGCGATGGACGGCCAGGTTAGTGGCGACGTCTGTCATGGAGCGATCCACGCTGCTGCGGCGCCGGCGCCGGCTCGTCTTCCCAGAAACTGCAGAAATAGAACATTTTCTGTTTCAGCCAGAAACATCAGGCGCTGAGGTCGTCCGTTCACTAAACTTTACAACAGAAACTCCGGACTTTACCAAGGGTTAGTCAACTCCAGTCAACTGGACGGAGATGAAGATGTGAGACTGACTGAGAAAGTCATCTTACTGGTTAGCATTAGCTATGGCTAACATGAACATTAGCTTTGGCTAATAGTTAGCAATAGCTTTGGCTAATGTTGGAGGTAGTTTTGGCTAATTTTTGATGTGTTTAGCAGTGTAGTGTTAGCATAGCTAAGATTCTTGTTCAATGGCTTCGTGATTGGTAATCCTTTTTGGTTAGCGGCAGCTAATGACTGCTACCGATTTTAGTCGAACATTATTTGATAACAAGCACATTCAGAATCTGGGAAAACATTTGTTGACAACCATCGTGACATCTTGAAAAATCAAACTATGATCAGTATCAGTAAATATGGTTCCTTTAGCCCAATTATTTATGATTTGGCACCAAAAGTATTAATCTGTGACAAATATTTACACATTTAACTAAAGTAAATTTTCCTCCATGGTGGGCATCTTTTCAACTGGCCGCCATCTTGAATTTTTCAGTGGCTAGTGCTTATTTTTCTTTTCAAAGAATCAATGCTACTTTAAGCACGTGAAAGCTTGAATTATTTGCAGCACTGAGAGGTCAGAGGTCATAAAGTGTGTCTGACTGAGGTAGAAGAGGTCGTTGGTGGTCTTGTTGAAGAACCAGTCTCCGTTATCGTTGCCGCTGAAGCTCAGCGCCGCGGACGAGCCGTTCCTGTCGTCCAGGATGTGGAAGCTGTCGGGTCTCTGGGTGAAGTTGTGTTTGATGATGACGAACTGGTCCGACTGTGGGAGAGGAGACGGAGCCGTCAGGCGGGCCGGGCGGTGCCTCTCCGCCTCTGGCCGGGTTTTGCCAGGTTTTACCTTGAAGCCGTAGAACTTGGCGTCGTAGGTGATGTTGGTGATGTGGTCGGCGTTGTCGAAGTGCCAGTTGTACGTCTGTCCGGACGGCAGCAGCGCCATCCAGCCGAACTTATGGGTCATCCTCTTCTTCAGGTAAGGAACCACGCTGCTGCCTGAGTTCAACGCAACAACAGCTGTTACTGGAGCTACTGCAGGTCCCACCCATCACCAGCAGATGGCAGTATGATGTTCATATGTAGTCAACATCATGTTGTATTATTTTAAATGTCTATCAATCTACTTTGTAGTAGTTCTTAGATGTACTGTTTAAAAAGCACATCTAGGAACAAGTGCTGCACATTAGCTTACGCTATAAGCACTATGACACAAGCATGGAGCTGCTGTTTGGTTCAGTTTGTCTCTGATGTCCCTGTCAAGTAAACCTCATAAATAAATCAAATAAAAAGCAGCAGTTGCTCCTGCGGGACGCTGAGGCCTCAGTACCATGCGAGTTGGTCAGGATGGCGTCTTTGGCCTGCAGAGAGGTCGGAGTGGGGTTGTTGAACGCCAAGCGATGGAAGTTGACGGTGTGGTCGCAGACGGCTCCGGGGAAACCCACGCTCCACTCGGCGCTGTGGGAACAGTGGGCCGGGTCCAGCAGGCTGCTCATCGGCACCACCTTATGGTCCACATTTCCTGCAAACATGGAGTTCACAACATTGAAGGGATGATTCCTGGTGTTTCACTCAGACCTTCTCATAACCTTCAGAAGTGGATTTAATCAACCGTTCTGCCAGGTTTCTCAGGATCTTTTAAGGCTTTTCTTTGGGCTTTAGCTGAGAACTCCGAACATCTAAACGCAGCGACCAGACGGTCCCTGAAACCAGGCAAGGACCAAAGGAAGGCCAGACTGCCTCCGGCAGATGAACAGCATTTCCTCTGGAGAACAAAATGATTCTGTTTAGTTCAAAGCTGCTACACTAAAGCTGCTCTGGGCAAAGCTGGACAGAAGGTCAAACAGCTGCTTAACTGGGCAGGAAAACCCTTTGCTTGATGTACTGCACCCCAACAAACCAGAAACCCAAACATCTTGCTTCTCTTCCCACCAAGACTATTTTTCATCTTCAGACCTTCAGTAGAAAGAGATTTTTCTATAAAAGACCTCCAACCATTGATGAAGACCACTTTAACAGATTACAGGAAGGTGTAGTTGCCTTGATGCCGACCCTGAAGAGCTGCTGGTTGGACCAGAGGTTCAGTGGCTGGGGTGTGTACCTGTGAGGGAGCCGTCCGTGTCCACCAGCTGGACTTCGTGCTCCCACCTGAATCCGGCCTTGTTGGGGGAGTTCCTGTACTGGATCCCGGCGAACCTGACGGCCCAGCCGCCGCAGCGATCTGTACAAGTCCCATCGATTGAGGTCACTCCGATGGCGGTGCAGTTGCTCCGGTTAAAGTTAACAAACCGAGTGTTGAGGACACTCATGCCATCATCAAACGGAGTGATGACGCCCCGGCGTGTGCAGTAATCGCTGCCCAGGCCGAGTTCATCCATGTGGGCCACGATGGTGCTGTTGGAGACTGTGGCGCCACCGTCCTCCCCAAAGCCACTCACAGCCCACGGGAAGATGCGCTTGGCCTCGATGCCGGCCTTCTCGTTGTTGACCATGATGAAGTTGTTGAACTGCACGGCGCCAACGTTGACCCACTCTGCGCCTTTCTCGCAGTTCCAGGTGGTCAGGGAGTGGAAGACAGCAGGTTCTGGGGTTGTGGAGGTGCAGCGTCCGTCCTTCATGGGGAAGAATTCTTGGAAGATCCAGAGACCGAACCATCCCTGGGAGTGCACCGTGTTGTTGGAGAACTCGCCTAGGGGAACCCTCTTCTGGCAGATGTTTGGGTCGTACGACGGGCCATCGGGGTTATCGTGCATGCGGTACCAGAAACCGAAGTGGGTCCCTCCTGCTGCGGCGTTGTGCCGGATGATGTTGTTGGGATTGGTGACCCAGTAGGCAGCAGGGGTGACGTCATCGTTCAGGAGGCTGGTGCTCTGTTTGACAAACACGGCCAGGTTGTACTGCAGAATGTTCTCCGTCTCGATGCCGTCCTCGATGAAGAAGGCTCCGCCCATTATGTCGTAGATGACGTTGTGCTCCACCAGCAGCCGATGGGTGTTGTGGATGGTCACGGCCCTGTTGAAGGTCTGGTGGATGGCGCAGCCACGGACGTACGATTTGTAGTTGATGTCGCCCATCAGATGCCAGTGGATGGGGTACCGACCGAGCCTGAAGGCCTGACCGGCGTGGAAGATCTGCCAGATCCAGAAAAGTTGATGCTCACCAAGACCAATATGGATTAGCTTAGGAAATCTGGAGGCTCTAGAGACGTTTCACCTCAACATACTCCAGTCTGCCCAGAGCGAGGTTCTCTCCTGGCCTGGGAGCGTGGAACATGATGCAACCACCAAACTGATCGCTGCCGATTTCCTCTCCGAACCTGCCTTGGAAACACGTCTGCGTGGCAAATTCACCTGTAGCCAGAAAAGACGAGATTCAGCCCAGAAAACCCAATAAGATGCCAACCGCACATTCAAGATGGCTGTTCCAGGTCTACAGCTAACATTTCAAATTCAAACTCATGCTGTCTGCAGAGAAACATTGAGGCCGTTTCCAACCTGGCCGTCCGGTACTCGGCCCGATTGGGACCAAAACGGCAACATGTAATCCATTTTTAACTGCGGTTCTCTTTCTGACTGTACTGAGTCAAACCAACCAAACCAGTTGAACTTGTTCACACTCCAGTTCGTTTGCCCAGAAAGTCCAGTGTGGTTGGTTTGACTCGGTTCAGTGAGAAAGAGAACCGCAGCTGGAAACGGAAGCCATGTTGCCGTTTTGGTCCCAATCGGACTGGGTCTACCGGACCATCAGGTTCTTTGATCCAGCCGGTCCGGCACCTGTGTTGAAGCCGTCAGGACACGCTTCGACCTCGTCGCTCCAGTCGAGGTTCTGGGAGCCTCGCACCACGACGTTCCTGGTGAGGAGGCCCACCTCAGCCCGGGCCTCAAACACGGCGCCGTCGGGCAGCGTGGCGGACACGCCCAGGTGGGAGAAGGTCAGCGGCTCGGTCAGGGTCAGAGTTTTTCCGCCGGCTGACACGGCAGCGATGGTTCTTACCTCGTTTTCTCTCTGGCTGTGCCTGGAAGACCAAAATCAGAGATTTCAACCGACTGCTGAACACCACACTGCACTCTGGAAGATATAGGAACCTCAGCAGAACCTCAGAGGGTTCTATGGGCCTCAGAACACAGGGAAAAACAGAAACCGGTTCATTGAGGTTCTGCTCCCACCTTAGCACTTCTACCTGCTTAAGGCCTTTGAGTAGGCCATTGTAGCATTGTCAAGTTCTTTTCTAATCTGTGCAGCTTCCCCACTTGAAAAGGATGAATAAATCGAAGCAGACTTTCATCAACAGGGTTTTACTCACATTACCAAGCAGTTTTCTTCATTTTATCCTCCATTTACTTATTAGTGTGTATCAGGACATGTTCACAGTTGGTCCAGAAGCAGGTAAAAACCGGCTGCCTGGCCACCCGTCTACAAATTCATCCAGTTCTGCACAAGTCGACCAGGATCTCTGATCAAAAGAGACCCCAAACTCCCGTCCTCTTTGTTTGGCTTTCTCTTCCGCTTTTTTTCATTGTCCGTCCCTCTTCTAGCTCCGTGTGGAACACAGTGGGCGCATTTCTGTTTTTTTACTTTTCTTTTTCTGATTTGACTTCACAAGCACCTTGTTCTGTTGGTGACCCAGTTTGGCTTCAGTTGCTGGATTCACTTTGGACTCTAGAGTACTTCATGGTCCACTCCGTGACTGCTGACTGCAGAACAAACCCACATCATCAACCTTCCTCCACCGTGCTGCACAGTTACCATAAGTTTATCTGCTGTGTCTGGTTCCCTCCGTCCAGGTTCCCTCCATCTTGGTTCCCTCCATCCTGGTTCCCTCCGTCCTGGTTCCCTCCATCTTTGTTCCCTCCATCTTGGTTCCCTCCATCCTGGTTCCCTCCGTCCTGGTTCCCTCCATCTTTGTTCCCTCCATCCTGGTTTCCTCCGTCCTGGTTTCCTCCGTCCTGGTTCCCTCCATCTTTGTTCCCTCCATCTTTGTTCCCTCCGTCCTGGTTCCCTCCATCTTTGTTCCCTCCATCCTGGTTCCCTCCGTCCTGGTTCCCTGTCTCCTCTCTGGTCTCGTCTGTCCAGAGGACATTGTCCCATCAGTCTCGTCCTCCATCAGGTGCAGGTCCTCCATCGAACTGGCGGCCATCTTGTTTCCAGAGAGAAGAGGCTGAATCTGCCGGGTCGTTCTCAGCTGACTTGCATCTGTCTGGTTTTTATCCTTCTTTATGTTTTGATTTTTTATTATTATTATTTTCAATTTTAAAACATTTTAATACCATTTTGTATTATTCTTTATTTTTGAGGTATTGAGAAGATTACAGTTTCAGTCTGTGATCAGATACATTCCTTCTCTTTACATTTCCATTTACAAAAGCAAAACAAACAAAATAAAACAAAAAGGGGAACAAAGGGGTATTGTTTTGGAGAGTCATACTTTTATGTATATAACTAAGTATATTATATTGTAAATAGACACTTCCTGAAGGATGAAGCCTTTCTTTTTAAATTCTCATCAAGTTAGTGCATATTGTGTTTGGTTGACATATGACCTACGTTTGGACAATAAGATAAAAAACTTATTCATTTGAAAACGAATTAGAAATGTTAATCTTTCCATCTGATAGATTCATCAACTCTATCCATCCTTCTGCAGTAGGAGGCTCAGGGAGGAGCCAGCGTCTGGTGATTTTATTCTATTTTTTAGTATTTCTAACTTAGAAATAATAATGCTATCTTGAGAAAAAGATTCTTCTCTGGAGGATGACAGACCTCAGACGGTTTGGAGGTGACCTTTGACCCTTCCAGCCACTGGGTCAGATCTTAGTTCTTTTTTAACCCCAGCCCCGAGGGGCGGCGCTCGTACCTGTGGCCGGTGGAGGCGATGACGATCTCCTCTCCAGGTTTCCAGGTCACGGCCTCCATCAGCGTCAGCGTGGCGGAGCCGTTGGCGGCGGTCTGGGCCAGGTGTGTCCAGGTGACGGGAACAGGAATACCTGGAGAAATAGGTCACCAACAATGACTCATTTGAAAAGGAGGATGAGTTGTGATGGTGCTGGAGGTTAGAAAACTCAGATTACTGCAAGTAACTGGAGCTGGGAGAGTAAATGTGGTCAGGGTTTCTAACAGTTTCCCTTCATGCAACACTTCAGACCAGAGCAGCAGATTTCTGCTGACCAGCAGCTAAACGCTGAACCAGCAGCATCGAAAGCAGGAAGTGAGAAACTGCAAAAAATCTGCGACATATGAGAAAGAATCAAACTTTGTTCTGGTGCTGAATCTACATTGATTTTATTTCCCACAAAAGAGAAAATTCATATGAATAATGACAATATGCTAGAAAATATTAAAAACAGACGTAACTACATTAACAGCTACTTTGGAGAAAGTGTCAAAGTGCACCCCCTGCTGTCCAGGGTCAGAAATGACACTGAAAGATGTGTTTTTATTACTTTATTGTAACACTTTGATAAATCCTGTGGGGCGTTCATACCATGGAGGTCTAAGACGCCCTCTCTGACGGCCAGCGTCTTGGATCCATAGACAGGAAGTTCAGGAGAGCGCAGGTGACCATGGAGTGTGATGATGGCCTTGTGCTGGAAGGGCGCCCCCTCCTGGCCGATCTGGAGCCGCCCTCCGTCTGTGATGAGGATGTTCTCCGCCTGCAGCTCCAGGTCGGCCTCGTCGAACATCAGCGTTCCTCCTGAGGAGAGCAGCAGGTTCAGCCCAGAGCAGATCTCTGCTTCCATCGGAGGAACGCAAACTCTGCCCACCCTGGATGAGGAGCATCTTCAGCACCGGCGTGCTGGCGTCCAGCAGCACCGTCTGACCTTTAGCGATGACCGCCAAGGAGCCGCGCTCGGGGGGGGGCAGGCCCCCCCAGGTGAACCGGGACGACCAAACGTCCACATACAGGAAGTTGGCTGCGTCCTGCAGAGACGCAGAGAGGAAAACTTCCTCCTGCTGAGCTGGTCCTGCTACTGTGTGTGTGTGTGTGTGTGTGTGTGTGTGTGTGTGTGTGTGTGCGGTTACCGTCTCGGCGATGCCGCGGTCTCCGATGCTGACCCTGACCTGCGTCTCCTGTGAGCGCTGCTGGGCGCTCGTCACGCAGACGATGTGAGTCATGTTGGAGGACTGAACGTCGCACGGCGAGCCGCCGATCGTCACATTGACGTCGTCCAACCTGGAGCTGAGAGACGAGGGACAGGTGACACGTTGGAGAGGACATGTCCTCTCTGTTTCAAAGATAAAGTTAATGGAGTTGGAATCGGCGATAAATAAGATTTTTATTTCAGCCAATGAATCGAAGGCGGGGAAGAAAATAATTCCTAAATTGTACACAGGATTGGAAAATTTGAAGAAAAGCAAAACATACATAAAAGTAAGATGGGGAAAAGAGGCTAACCGTGGGCTAACTGGAGGCCAACCGTGGGCTAACTGGAGGCCAACCGTGGGCTAACTGGAGGGTACCTGTGGGCTAACTGGAGGCCAACCGTGGGCTAACTGGAGGCTAACCGTGGGCTTTTACAGGGGAACCGGGAGGATATATGTGGGCAACAGTGGAGAACATCTTGTTCCCTTTCCTGGAGAGAGTTTGGCTGGAAGAATATTGTAAGATATTTCGTTACACCAGCACAAAGAAAATACCAAGATGCAAGATGTTGGAGGAAATGTGGGTCAGACAGAGCGGGTCACTGCCACGTGTTCTGGGATTGTGCCGGCATGGTGCCTTATCGGCTGGATTTAAAGAGCTGTATGGATCAGGACTGAGGGCGAGGATTTCATTCACGTTTGACTGTCTGTATGGGAAGACGGATGGAAAGGTTAACAAGAGCAGCTGATAAATATATGTACAGGATTATGATGGTAGCAGGCAAAAGAAAACATTACTAGGAAATGGCTGAAAAAGAGGGAAGACTGGGTCAATGTAATGAATATATTTACATGATGGAATCTGGAAAATTATTGGCAGGATTTTATTTCACCATGGAGATCAGACTGTTGAATAATACTGAGGATTTGAAGTTGTAGAGCTGCAGACTATAAATAGTTTGCTTCAGTGAGAAGAGATTTAAAATTGTGATGACTTGGAAGAGAAGAACTGACAGGAAAACCTGATTCAGGTGTTTTTAATTAGTAAGTGTCGGGTAGCCTGGGGAACGTAGAGAACAGCAGCGTTGTTTTGTCCAAAGCAGGTACAGGATGTATGTGCAGCTTCTCTTGGATGGTATGTATAGATTTAACAAAAGAAAAGTTTGGATGCACGCTTGTATACAAAATAATTATCAATGAAATTTGCAAATTATAAAAAAATTATATTCATTAGATATTAACATGATAAGGTTACGTATTGTCATGTTATTAACATAATAAATGTCATTATTATCACAGAGCTGCTGAGGGAAACTCTTCTCACCTGAAGCCCGAGCCGCTGATGGTGAGCCGCGTGCCGCCGGCCGTCCCTCCTCGCCGCGGAGACACCTGGGAGACGACGGGCGTCAGGGCGGCCCGGTAGGTGAAGCCCTGAGAGACGTTGACGGCGTCCAGCCGGTTGAGGACGGAAACATGGCAGCCAACCGCCGAGTCAGAGCCTGAGGACAGATGGAGACATAAGTCAGGGACACACATGTCTGTCCAGGGGCCGCAGACGGCCCCCGCGCCACACTTTGGACACCCTGAACTGGGCTCCTCTTTACTGCAGCAGAGCCACCTTTATGGCCATGAGGGTTGCTATGGTAACAGTTGGAGCTGACCGTTGTTGGGCGGAGACAGGCAGGACAGGCGGGAGGACGAGGACGCTCCTCTGAAGACGGGACATTCCCGGTCACAGATCAGAACCCTGGAACCGATCGGATCAAACCCGGAACCAAAGACGGAGAGCAGAGCGCCACCACCGAAACTCCCTGCAGCGCCGAGAGAAAGACGCAGATCAGAACTGATTCAATAAAACTGATTTAATCAGAACTGATTCAATAAAACTGATTTAATCAGAACTGATTCAATAAAACTGATTTAATCAAAACTGATTCAATAAAACTGATTT